ATTAAAAATTGAACCATTTTCCCCCTCGTATAAAATATTTAATTCAAAATTATGTCCTCTGTCATAGGATCCCACATGGACGAGTTCAAGAGCGAATGCCAATTCGAGAGAGAGAAAACACTCACTGCGCAGACGGCTAGCGAGGCCGTTAAGACAAAACATATTTCAACAGAAAAGGACTATATAAAAAGAGTGCGAAATGTATAAACTAATCGATAGTAAAATTAAAAATCTAAGAAGCAAACCGAGCAAGTTAGAGTTACGACTGACTTTTTCTTTAATGATACGTGCTTATTTCGTTTTTTACTTTTTTTTATTCTATTTTATCCCATCAGGCACTGGACGTTCACTGGGTTGCCTGTATCATGCACAGAGGCCTCGTGGCAATGTTAGTCAAAAGATAATGGAATGGTTCACAGAAAAGAATGATTTCGTTTAACTTGTCTCAGACGATCTTCTCTCTAAGATGTTCTCTACATGATATTAAAATATTTGCCGGTTCTGCCCTTTTTTAGGCCACAAAATAAACAGTTTTGCGTTAAATGCATGTCACACTACTTGTGAATTTGATCTTGCACCATGACACAACAAGATCAAATATCCCAATGTTCTCTGTCAGAATCAACAAAATAGTGCAATAGTACCCAGAAGTCTTCACGGCACCATCCACTAGTCCTTTGCGGGCATATGATGATCCAAGTGCAGTAATTGTTCTGAGTAAACTTTGCCAGGAAAGATAGGAAAGCATAGGTCTACATTTCGTGGATCGATATTGCTTATATGACTGATAACGTCTGATCAAAGTTATTGATGGGTTGCAAGCATTCCCAAGAGTTAAAAGACAAAAACATGGCGGCCATTGAGGTACCGTTAACAATGGATGCTATAATGAGAAATCTTTTGTTAAATGGTACCAACATGGCCGCGATGTCGTAACGTGCAAACGAAGAATACAGGCTTAAGCAACCGAATAGGAATAAATATTTTTTCACTTAAGATTGCCTTATCGTTGAAGATTTAAATCTATTAAAAATGGATTTAAAAAAAAAAGAAAAATGTTATTTTGATAAGACGGGATTCGAACCCACCAAAAAAAAATTTTTTTTCAATACGATTCCACTTTGCCATACCCCCGAGACATCCGCAGAGCTGGGGCGTCGTATGGACTTCGGACCTGACGGCGATTAAATCCTTCTGCCCTTGGGTGTACGAATTACGCAAGAAAATGTTCTAGCCGAAGCATCAGGGGAGAGACCAGCCGGCCCCCAGACCATATCGGCTAATCCCTTGCATCTCTGCCACGCACGGAATCGGTTGAATGAAGACTGTTAAAAAGTCTAGTCTATTCGGTGCATTGTTATCACGGCTATTGTTATGCTGATTCACCTGGAAACCGTGGTCCAGTGGATAAATCGTTGTCGTTCAAGATACTGAGTCAAGCCCGTCTGAGGCGGGTTAGCACTTGGATGGGTGACCTAAACATCATACCTACTCACGCTTTTGCTCCTTTTTTTCCGTTTTTCTTTTTTTGATTTTTAAAATAGTAGAATATAGAATAGTGACACTTTCTATTTTTGAGCAACCTATTTCTTTCTACCCAAATCCGTCAAATTGAAATCTAGCTAGCAGAGGAAAATCCTTGGGGGCAAAAAGAAACTGCAGCTCATTTAGTATTTTCAAAGGAGGGCTAARTGATCGAGAGCCAGTCAATAATTTCAAAACACTAAATGGCCGGCAGTTCCATTAATTTTTACTGAAAAATCCAGCTCAATTCATACGATAACAATAACCAAACTTAAAACTCGAACAAACCTTTTTATGCTTTCTATAATCGTTTATACCGCTAATATTATTAAATTAAATTTTTAAAAAATCTCAAGTAAAAATCTGACAAGTAAAAATGGCTTAAAACAAGGTGAAGGCCATCTACTACGGGGAATTGAATTTTAGAAATCACATCGACAGAAGGCGTCACTCTGAAGCGTGTGAAATAGTGCGGAGTATAGCGAGTTTTACAAAGATCGCAACCCTCAAAAGGAAACCAAAGTAAGCTTATGTTTTAGAAATTACATCGACAGAAGGCTGTTTTGTCATCGCCAACTATTCCGGCCATGCGCCGCCCACCAAGTCAGCGGATATCATGTATAAAATAAAAACCACAGGAAGCCCAAGCTCTCTCAGGCCCGGACTTAGAGAAACATAACGTTTTGCTACGGTATTCCTGTGCTTTAATAGGTATCCTATTACACATGATGGCAAACGAGAGCTGAAGATTCAAGCTTTATTTTGATACCAAGCATGCCGTATTTTGCGAATAGTTTTCAAGGTTTTTGCTTCACAAAGTGCTTATTCTTGAAGAAGGATCTCACAAATATTCGTCTCAAATCCAGGGAGCTTTTTGAAAGTAAAAAACGAAAAGTATAAATTCGTTCAATCGACCACAGATTCGACATCAGTAATTTAGAATGTGTGTATTTTAAGGATCGACTCCGGCAAATGAGGTAACTAGTTCTGATTTTGAGAAATCCTGTTCATAATATTTGACTTTTTGTATTTTTCTTGCAATTAACAATATGGCAAGAAGGCTTTTAAAATCTAACTATCGAGACGAAAAGGTTTTTCCAAGCAAATTAAAGTATGTTTAGTAAAAATTAAATGCTTTAATGTTATATATTGTTCTTCTACCCCGGCAAGTGGAAAACTGTTTACACAGAAATTTATAAATCGAAAACTATCTTGACTCTCTATACATTTCTTTGAGTAAAATCTGAACGACACCGCTGTATATATTCTGTTGGCGATGTGCCTTCTATAGTTGCTCTAAGTATCCATCAATAGGAAATTTGACGAGGAAATAAACATGAAGACACAAGTAGAGTGTCGAACAGTATACCGTATATATATTGAACTCCGAAGTTGCGGGTTCCCTGGTCGTTATCATCAAATATGGCCGTGAGGGACTTGACTCAAATCAAAATAACTACGTTCTTGGAGTGTGCACTGGGTTGCCAAATGTGCTGGTATGCTGGAGCTTATTTAACACCTAATCTTTGTTATGTACCACTATTTGGGAAGAGGGGGTACTTTGGAACATTTTAGGTGTATATTTTTTTCCAGGACTTCCGAATACTACTGATGCGGTCTTGTAGACGGAGAGAAACTCCAAAGTGGACTGAGCTGTCATCATAAATTCAACTCAGTAACAATGCACTTATCAAAAGAAACATTTGTTTTGATCCTTATACCCCAGGATTGCTCGCGATTACTAAGATGGAACTAAGAACAACTACACCGGATTGAACTGTCTATCGGCCATGTTTTATTCCTTCTCTCCTACGCATGCGCCATACATTAAGTACTTAATTATTAACTAATACAACAACATTAGCGATTTGTTGGACAACACGGATAAAGCAATGGAAAAGTACTATGCTACCTATATGATTGGATCGAAATAAGAAAATAAGAAAAAAGCTGAAAAACGCAAATCCTCGGCAACAGAACATACTTAAGGAAGAAAAGGGCATGTGTTATATTTAATTCCTTAGGAGGAAATCCTTCAGCTAATGAATACAGCCCTGAAATATATGGCGTCCGACAACTTGATAATATTGATGAGGACACTCTACTAATATTTACATCTCAAACTGACAAATCCTGCCTGAGGGATCTTCTTTCTTCGAAATGTTTTGTTGAGGAAGCCACTTTATGGAGCTTGTTCAGAGCTTTTGTTTTCATCCTTGACATAGCACTAAATATCATGAACATAAAGCTAGAAGAATTATTACAAAGCAAAACAAAAAAGCATAGTCAGTTGTCTTATATACAGTCAATCAATGTTGCATAACTTTGTTACAGTATAGAAAGTTGTGATCATGACTTGTACTGTTTTTAGTTACTGTTTTTTGTACTGTTTTTATTACAAAGGATACTCAGTTTATACATTATATTTCAACACATATGGTTTTGAGGTTGCACCTGTGACAAGTTCTTTATACTGTTCTTTATACAGTAAAAAATATAACAATGATTGTTTATTTTAAATATATTTATATGCATCTTTTCAATTTTATAGTGAACAAAATCCC